CAAGTTAGTTTGTGCTGTTTCTGTCCTGCTAGATCTGCCCCAGACAACTGTAAGTGCTATTATTGCTCAATGGAAGCATTTAGGAGCAAAAACAGCTCAGCCATTTCAGATAATTATATGCTTCCAAGCATGTGGCAACACTTTGGCGAGAAAGGTCATTCCTGGTCCAGCATGACTGAACCCTTGTGCACAAGGTGACGTCCATGTAGACATGGTTTGATGAGTTTTATGTGGAGGAACTTGAGCCTCAAGCGCAGCTCAGTCAATAAGATTTAAGACCCGAACTATACATTTTACAAACTCATTTTCCTTTTCAACTCCTTGAGACAAAACGCACGTCGTCATATTCTTCATAACTTTCATATTTCATAAGCTACATTCTAAAGGTGGGGGTTGTATGAGAGCTGTAACTGTCTACTTTCCAGTCAAACAGATGGGTGATGTAATTTTAAACCCTTATAATAAAAGAAGCTGAACTCAATTTTTCTTTGCTACTGAAAGTCGACCCATTTTTCCACAAATCTGAGCTATAAACTATAAACAGATGGCGTCTTTTCAGTGATCTGCTCTGTAAAAATTATTTTTATAAAAAAATACAAAGAGCGTCTAAGATTTTTGGCTTTCAGCAGTAAATTGTAAGCATATAGCGATATGTGTATCATAAAACACATGTTCTGTTAATTTGAGCGGAACTTTTACAAAAAAAAATAAATAAAATAAAAATTTACATTTATTTCATGCAGTTACTGAATAATTTGCCTTACGATTTGGGCATGTAAATTCAGATGGACAAACCAAAATATACCCTGGTCAATTAGAGGTTAACTGTCCTTTGTCCACTTTGCCTCACCATTTCCCCTCAGGGCAATCCCTGATGCTAGCTTAAGGGCTGCTGCATTTCTTTATTAGCTCAAGGTAAATTTGTTTGATGACCATGTTTACACAACTGTAAACTTTAGCAGTTGAACAATGAAAAATGGTGGACGAGGTTGTTTATGATCAACAGCAAAAACACTTCAATGTATGAAAGATTTCTATATTTTTGTCTGTTTATATAGTTAATCTTATAATGTATGACGTTTCTTGTGCTGTGTTTAAAGTAGGAGTTGTGCACCAAACTGCTTCATCTGTTAAACATGACGGTTCATTGTTGTTAACTTTACAACTATTTGTTGCTAGCATGCAGCTAGCAAGCTAAAGGCTACAGCTAGCTAAACAAAAAGAAGGATAATGCAGTTCTAAATGAAAGTTTACAGCCAGACTAAACAATTATTCACTAAAGTATTTATTTAGGCTTCTCAAAAAAAAAATGCATTACACAGTTTGCACAGCTAGCCAATTAGCTTACTGAGGCCAACCTAGCTGAGGGCAGGCTCCCAAATGGTACCAAAAACATATAAAAATCAAAACAATCCAATCAAATACAGTCAAAAGCAGATGGAGGTCAGCATTTCAACCATAATAAGTGATGCAGAATTTAAACCAACATGACATTAGTAATAAACTCTGAATACAGATTTTGAAAAGCCTTTGAAAATTTGCAAATAAATATTTAAGTTGTCGCTAGATGGTGCTGTCAATCCTTTGTGTTCATGGTCACTGTTAAGAAGAACCAAACAGATAGATTTTTTATTTAAATGTGTTCTATTGTAGGCCCCTTGATCACAAGCAACCAGAATGGACAACAAATAACAATAATATTACAATCATTTTAAAAAAGGATGATCATTACACACTTTTAAAGCTGAACAGAACTGAACTGAACCAGCCATTCTAAGTTCGAACTATTGCAGAAATATGTACAGTCAGGAATGAACTGAATAATTTATGCCATGTCTTGGATTTGAGATTGGGAATGATGCCACCTCTCAACATGTATGTCAATCAAAGCTGTGATTTCTGATTGGATGTGGGGAGAAGTTAGGCCTACTCAATTTTAAAACCCACCAAAATCACTACAAACCAGTCCAAATTTTGTTCACCAACTGAAGCACTTTGTTCTGCCCAGTCCAAACAAAATTTACCCAATTTGCTGGGAAACCACCCAATCTGGCAACACTGTTTCACTGTTTCTGAGTGGAACACCTTATCAGCCATGCTCTCTGAGCTAACTGAGCCTTTTCACTTGATGGTGGGTCAGGATGGCACAGGGATGAAGTGAAACACGATATTATTAGTTGATCATATTTCCCATGCCCACTGATGCACAGTGATGTCATAAAAAATCAGAAGATGATTTAGAGGCAGGCAAAAAAATTACATTGTGATTGATTATGGAAAACAAGAATTTTGTTTTGTAAATGATGTGATGTGATTAATCACTGTGTAGCCAATGCCTGAACATTTCCAAGCATTAAAGGGGAATACCGCTGATTTTTCAAAATTTCTGCATATTTCATTTGCTAAGATTGAAACTAATTCATTCAGATGGGCTTGATATGAACTACTTTATTATAGGGAAATTCACAGATTTCTTTACAGTGGTGGTGATAGGAACCAGGGGTCAGTGCAAATATAGCCACTGGTCCAAAATGACCAGTGAACGTACACATCTTCTGAGTAAATATGAAAAGTGTGAGAATATGAATATGAAAAAATATGATACATGTGAAAAAACAGGTACTAGTTTGCTACATGTACTACCTCACCACCACGCATATATACATAACTTTACAGGAGAAGGAAAAAAATACTTTACTTTTAATGTAAGTTAATGGAACCAGAATTTATATATATATATATATATATATATATATATATATATATGTGTGTGTGTGTGTGTGTGTGTGTGTGTGTGTGTGTGTGCAGTAAGACCTTCAGGCTCTTTTGAGCATTTTATAGGCTCCTGTCGTTCTGTAGGAGAGTGGTCCTGGCTTGTTCCACCCCCTGCATTGCATAGTTCATTGTTTCATCTGCTCTAATGAGACTAATTAGACTGTTTATGGAACCTTTAAAGCACTGAAGAAAAACTGAAATGTGTTAAGCAGCTGGAGCTGAATACAATGTGTGATTTCAACATCATTCTGGCCAAAAATAAGGCAGGTGTCATATCCCCTATTCACATGCATCTAGATTTTGATTAGCATTTGAATAATATATATATATATATATATATATATATATATATATATATATATATATATATATATACATATATATATATATTGGTCTAATAACTAGCCTATTGGTATATGATTTAGCTACAAGCTCCTTTTAACAGGAAATCCCAAGGTGATTGTGAATACAATAAAAACATATATAAAATAAAAATAAAATTTCATAGACTGACTGAACCAGTTCTGTTGCATTTTTTCCTGCTGCTAAATCTCTTTCTTTATTAATGTACACTGTACCTAAGCAGTATCAGGTGGAGAAAGAAGCAGTAGCAGTCTTTACACCTTTATATTATTATCTTTATCTGTGTTCTTGCGCACAGTGGTCTCCATGCAGTCTGATGAACGCAGGAATGTGCTGGCTGCAGTTGAGTTTAGTGCAGTGTGTTCGGATGTCGCTGTAATGGCTGCAGTAATTGCTCCCAGCCCGTAGAGGACACCATCAGCGCGCTCCATCACTGACCCGTGATATCAAACACAAGAGATGTTAATCATATCATTAACACAGTGATCAACTACAGATTAGAGCAAAACAAACACAGAGGCGCGGCTTAATCGAACAGAACTGAAAACAGCGCCGTTTTATTACAGCTCACTGCCACCATCAGCCCGCGCCACTCACGAATACAGCAGGAACGCGCAATGACGTCCATCTCAACAGGTCGTACGGGAACACTGTACACTATATACATGAATGCATAACTCTATATACATACATACATATATTACTGGGTATATAGGTATATATGTTTCATAAATATATTTATGAAATATTATACTATTACATGCTATATGCCTGTGTAGAGCCTAAAAGACATTTAAAACCATTTTCCCCAAAAAACATAAGGTTCTTCATAGTTTATAACTCTTTCTTTATCATTTATAACACCGTTCATATCTCTTTTTTATCACTGTTTACAACTCTCTCTTCAGGCCCAGTGGGGTTGATCTAGTTATTAAAATGGGAAAGAGCATTAAATACATCTAGTCTTTTGTTCTTTATTACACCATCACAGGCTGCCATAATCACAGCCAGTTTGATATACACACACACACACACACACACACTCATATATATATATATATATGAGTGTGTGTGTGTGTGTGTGTGAAAGCAGGCTTTTAAAGTCTTTTATGCTAATAAAGATAATATATAATCGTTTATATTCGAACAAAGTATATATATATATATATATATATATATATATATATATATATATGCTCTGTGCACAACCTAAAAAAACATTTAAAACCATTTTCCCCAAAAACACAAGGTTCTTCATAGTTTACAACTCTTTTTTTAACATTTATAACATCGTTCATAATGCTTTTTTTATCATTTACAACACTGTTTACAACTCTCTCTCTCCAGGCCCTGTGGGGTTGGTCAGGTTATTGCAAACAGAAAGAGCACTAAACGTCCAGTCTTCTGTTCTTTATTACATCAACCATCATACCCAGCCATAATCACGGGCAGCTTGACCCAGTTTGACATCGCGTTACTCAGACTGCGCAGCTGCGCTCCCTTTATTTTTCTGTTTAAAATTCTATTTTCTAGAATAGAAAATGTATCTTATTTCCTATTTCAATATCAGTGCGTTTCATCACCGTTTACTTCGGTATCAATCGCTGCACAGAGAGAACAGAACCCGAGTGTTTCTGCAGTTCAGCTGTCTTAGCTACTTTAACTATGCGGCGTCCAAAACTGCTTAAAACGGAACTCTCCTTAAACTCGGCGCTTTGGGTCGCTGTGTTTTTTTTTTTCCTGGATTGCGCCTTTAGCGCTGAAGCCAGACCCCTTTTGTGTTAATGGCTCGCGCTCATTTGCCACCTAATTGGACTATATAAGGCCAATAACAGCAGAGAGGCTTCAGCTAGCAGCCAATGTCTAGGAGGCTGGACCTGCCTGACTCTCTCTCTCTCCCCCCCTCTCCCTCTCTCTCTCTCTCTCTCTCTCTCTCTCTCCAGCTCTTCTTCTTTTATGCCATTTGCCACAGCGCGTGCCCACTCGCCGTACACTTGCTGCGTTCAGCTGACTGTTTTTTTCATGTATTGGTTTAATTACTATCTAGCTTGTCCGGCGCGATGAACGAGATGATCGACGAGACTGATATTATCAATAATATTATCAATAACACGATCAGTTCCCTCTCCACGTATTAAACTGGTTTGGAGCAGAGTTTACTGGACGGTTCTACAGCGTTTGCGTTACGAGACTTGACGACGGCCCGCGACCTAAAAGCACCTTCGAAGCCCCCTCTTCTGGAGCCACCATGCCCGAGACAACGCCGGAGACGCGCGCCTCGGCCAAAGACTCTCCGTTCTCCATCAAAAACCTGCTGAACTGTGACAGCAAGCCGGCCAAGCCCAAGCCCATGCTGGCCACGGTCAAGCAGGCAGCACTGGACGGTGGCATCTCGCTTTCCCACGTCGGGGACTTCGGCTTCCCGCGTTTCGAGCTGCACAACCAGAGGCTCGCGCTGCCCGCCTACCTGGAGCGCGCGTCCGCCTGGTGGTACCCGTACACGCTGAGCGCGGCCGCACAGCTCCACAGGACGGAAGGTAAGCAGCGCTGCGTTCTTCCGAAAAGTTCCAGGAGCTTCTGGGAAGTTCTCGTAGGAGCTTTCAGTTCTATTAAGAACCATATATGGAACTAATTGCGTGCTTAAATTGATGGAGAGTGTGTTATGCACGGTTCTAGCACCGAAAACCTATTGTAACACTAGCAGAACCCTTTTTGGTGCTATGTAGAACCATTTGCAAAAACCATCCGTCTCCACCAATCTGAAGAACCATTTCACCATGCAAAGAACCCTGTAAGCATGCAAATGGATCTTTGGGTGTTCGTGGTTCTATATAGAAACGTGGTTTTACCAAAGGACCCTTGAAGAACCATCTTTTTTAAAGGTGCTTTTAGGAGCTGTTGGTTCTCACAGGAATGTTAGAGCACTGATTTATTACACTATTGCGAGTGCACGCGCATAAGTAATACAATGGCCTGCTAACTACCGCGCTTCTCTCAGGCTGTATTTCTAGGGAATAAAAGGCAAGTACACTATACTAACTATCTTCACGAGCCTTTCTTTCTAAGCTGTGTTACTTCTTATTGGTAGGCTGTCTTGTCTTCCTTAGGGGGGGGCGAAACAAGTAAAATAATAATAAAATTAACCCAAAATATACTAATATTCCCTTTTGTTCTTGTCTGTCTCTGATACATCTAACAAATCAAAATACATCTGACGCTAAGCTGCACTGTTTGTCGGTCTTTGGTGCAAAAAGCCCACTGAAAATGGGCTATAGAACCATTTTTTTTTTCACAGAAGAACCATACACAACAGGTTCTTCATCATAGAACACTACACATAACCATTTAACCACTCTAATGGTTCACGGAGTTGGTACAGTTCTTCATTTATCCCCTGCTTTTTTCTGAAGAACCACTTTTTCATGGTGTACATGCTTCAAAATGGTTCTACAACAGTAGCACCAAAAGGGTTCCACTATTGTTAGAACGTTTTTTGTCTAAGAGTGTGCTTCTGAAAACTAGTGTAATGAATATGTTCTTCAACAGTTCTATTTTTTTACTAAAGGTGGCTCTTCAAGGGTTCTTTAGTAAAGGTAATTATATTTAGAACACAGTGAACACTCAGTGAACCAATGGTGTGCATAAATTGTTCTTCAGAGAACCTGTTGTATAAAGAACTTCTTTGAAATGCTTCTACACAGCACTTAAAGTGGTTCCACCATTGTTACAATTCCTAAAACATTTTAGCACTGTTTAGCTAGGAGTGTACGCGTTTAATGAAAAAAGGTGATGAAATAAATATATACATCCCTAAAAAGGGTTCTCCAAGGGTTCTTTAGTAAAGGTGATGGATATATAGAAGACTACGAACACTCAGTGAAGCAAATGAGTGCATAAATGGTTGTTTGCCTGAATGTTTTGCAAAATCTGTTAGATAAATAACTTCATTGAAATGCATCTACGCAGCACTGAATCAGGGTTCCACCATTGTTACAAATCCTAGAACCCTTTTTAAGCACTTTTTGCTAAGAGGGTAGGTACTTTCTAGAAAAAAAGGTAATGAAATAAATATATACACCCTTAAAAAGGGGTTCTCCAAGGATTCAATTAAAAATGGTTCTACATGGCACCGAAAAAGGGTTCTCCTATTGTTACAGAGCCTGTTTTGGTACTATATGGAGCCATTTTTGTTTGGGTACCGCTAAACTACTCTTGTTGCTATGCTAGCTTGTATTTCTTTTTCTCAAAAAAAAAACAACAAACAAAAAAAAAAAAAAAACGAGAACAAAACAAAAAAAACAATTGATAGGAAAACAATTTATTTGGGTTTAAGCTGCAACACCACGTGCTCTAATCAGCAACTTTAAAATGTTTTTAAAACTTGAACACTGACGCACAAATAAGGGAAAACAGGCAGCTGGCAATTAAAACGCGTAAAACGCGTAAAAAACGTGACACGTTATTATTTCGGCCTCTTTTCCCCACACACACTGCGATGCTAATTTGTTTTTGTTTTTATTTTTCTTTCTTGCGCCACAGAGAAAGGGAGCGCGCGCGCCTGCTCTCCCTCGTCCGACCGCGTCTCTCCAGAGCTCGTGCTCAAAGCCGAGACGGACGCTAAAGACGTGGAGGAAGAGGAGGACGAGGACGAAGCGAAGAGCGGCGATGAGATAGTGCTGGAGGAGAGCGACACGGAGGACGGGAAGAAGGAGGTGAGCGGAGGAGGAACAGGAGGAGGAGGAGGAGAAGAATGGAAGAAAAGCGAGGCGGACGGCGGCGCGTGCGACAAGAAGCCGTGCCGCAAGAAGAAGACGCGCACGGTGTTCTCGCGCAGCCAGGTCTTCCAGCTCGAGTCCACATTCGACGTGAAGCGCTACCTGAGCAGCTCGGAGCGCGCGGGCCTCGCCGCCTCGCTGCACCTGACCGAGACGCAGGTCAAGATCTGGTTCCAGAACAGGCGCAACAAGTGGAAGCGGCAGCTCGCGGCTGAGCTGGAGGCGGCCAACCTGAGCCACGCGGCGGCGCAGCGCATCGTGCGCGTGCCTATCCTCTACCACGAGAGCGCGGCGGCGGCGGCGGCGGCAGCGGCGGCGGCGGCGGCGGAGAGCGCGAGCGCGCCTGGGAGCGCGCCCTCCAGCCAACCGCTGCTCACCTTCCCTCACCCGGCCTACTACTCCCACCACCCGGTGGTCACCTCCGTGCCCCTCCTCAGGCCGGTGTGAGGGGCCCTCAGACTGCTTTTATCATTTTTATTCTCAATTTTGTAACTCGGTACGTTACAAAGACTGCGTTTAAAAAATAAACAAACAAACAAACAAAAAAAAAAACGAAATAAAGAAAGAAATACATAAACAGAAGAAAAAAACTAAAGGATATTTTTCTAAAACGAGGATTTTTGTTGTTGTTGTTGTTGTTGTTTCCTTTTCCTTTTCAACGAGGGAACACTACTGTACTTCTAAGTTCATTTTTTGTTTGTTGTTATTTTTTTTTCAACAAGGGAATATTACTGTCATTTGAGTTAAACATTTTGCATTTTCCGTTTGAAAATAAGGACACGTTTTTGTCATTCTGGCGACTGTGGAGGTGAATTTGACGACTAGCCTATTATTATTATTATTATTATTATTATTATTATTATTATTATTATTATTCACTGAGGCCCCAATTTGTATATTAAAATTCCAGGAATTCCCCTCAATCATAAAACCACATAAAAACCCACATCTGTGTCCACACTAGTCAGACTTCTTTTGTACAGCCTGCGAAATAAATCGAATCTACTTTGTTTACATTGAGCGGAAACGTTTCGTTGTTTTTTCTAAACTCTGTGTGCAATAGCCTACTGAAAGGACTGTGTGTGCTATCTGGGCGACTTACTACTGTAAAAAAAACAGGTTTTTTTAAACAATCCTTGGCTCCTTTTCTCACCATCGAGCTTTTAAATGGACAATCACTCGGCTGCATTCGGCTCAAGTCTACACTGACATTATTATTATTATTATTATTATTATTATTATTATTATTATTAAGCTGGATTTAATCTGAGCCCCGAGCCAGTCTTTATGGTTTCACTCTTACAGCCTCAGTTACTGATGTATATGTGAAGATACCATATTTAATCTAAACCGAGGAGAGTCGTCCTTTGTACAGTAAGAATAAAGTTTTTTTTTGATATTGTACCGCTCATTTCTGTTGTGAAATAAATGGAGTTATGAAGGTAATTTAGGTGTTTTTGCGTTTCTCTGCACATCATCTAACACAGCAGGCGGAGCTACACCTCGACTTTTATTCTATTTTCCGTCAGAAGGCTTTAGGTCCACTTAGACACTGCACTGGTCACCAGTAATGGACCACTTCAGGTGACCTTCATCAGCAGTTAAGCATATAATGGGAAGATAATTAAATAGTAATTAAATAATGGTATTAACTACTATTAATTAGACCTAATTGATACAAAACCATCAATTTCTTTTGACTAGAATATTACTGCATTATCACTGCACTATTTTGGAGGCACATTGTGGACGGTAGCATTAATACAGACACCTGAAGCAACAGGTTAACTTAGCTGGACATCAGCGCGCGCGCAAAATATGAAACTGGCATTGACTTGCATTGCCTAAGCTTTGATGCCCATTAATTGTTTCCCCTAAACCTAATCAGTAAAGCTTACAAACAGCTGCACCTAAACTCAAGTCTAAGTGCTATATAAGCGCTATTGCATGTGCAGGGGAATTCCACCGAATTTTCAAAATTTCTATATAATTTTGCGGTTGAGCGGTTATTCACAGTGGTTTGATGTAAAATCGTTCGTTTGCTGAGAAACTTACCGATGATTTCTTTACAATGTCGGTAACAGGAA